TGTGTTCCCATACCAACCAAAAGCCATACCAAATGTCTGAATGTATGACCAATGCCATACCAAATATCTAGATATAAGACAAATACCATACTAAATGTCTAATAAAAATATAGGACCAATGCCATACCAAATGTCAACTGTAGAAAAAAAGCTAATATGCAAACGGAAGAAAGCCCTGAGATACCTACCAAATTATTTCCCCAGGGAATCTGTTTTTCCAGATTGCACTTTGACTGTTTATTTTTAGGTTTGATTATACACAGACCAATTGACTTGCAATATACTTGATCAGTTGATTTTAGTGCTTTCTTATTTGTGAATCTCATTGAGATTCAATAGATTAGAAGATAGATGGCAGTGACTTTTTTAATTCCATTTTGACATGGGAGAGACCAAACGATAGCAATAAGCCATAAGTAATGTTTTTTTTATAAATTATATTTATTTCCTATATAAATTGCACTTATCAGTAATACAGTCATGTTGCCAAGGTAACTAACTAAATGTTAAAATCTAATAAAGTGCTGATTATGATCAATGATCTTCAACAAACCTTTTCCCATGTGCAATTGCAACTCTGAGTAGCACTTTAAAATATTTTTAAGTTTTACACATAACTTGTTTTATTTAGAGTGTCATTTGAAATTGGAAGAACGGCTTGTTATAAACATTAAACAATTTTAAGGTGGAATGAAGACAAGAGAGCAGATTTGAGAGTAGCTTTCTAAAACTCTAAAATTTGTCACTATGCATTTCATAATATACTCGTAGTATATTGCTTTCATTCATTCATCAATCAATTATGACAAAAATAATTTCTCCTTTGAGAAGATGAAAGCCCGCTTGCTGATCTTTTAAAGGCCCCATGTCAAGTTTAAACAACTTTGGCTTATACTGTAGTGTTCTCTATTGTTATAAAAGGGCCTTTAACTTCTTGAAAACTTAGAATGACAGTTGTCTCAGTCATAAAGTAAATTCACTGGGAATCTAAGAAAATTACAGAATTTTCACTTAAATTGTTCTGACAATTTCTATTCTGTCTGTACACAAATTATGTTTTAAAGTGTATGTTATGTAACTATGTTTACTTATTTTACGAAAATGAACATCCTGATATTCTTACATTACATATTGTATATTTTATACATCCCTTGACACCCGTATGGACACAGCGAAGATGGAGCATGTGAAGATGTATTGTAGGCCTGATATTCTTTCATTACATATTGTATATTTTATACATCCCTTGACACCCGTATGGACACAGCGAAGATAGAGCATGTGAAGATGTATTGTAGGCCTGATATTCTTTCATTACATATTGTATATTTATACATCCCTTGAAACCTGTATGGACACAGCGAAGATAGAGCATGTGAAGATGTATTGTAGGCCTGATATTCTTTCATTACATATTGTATATTTATACATCCCTTGAAACCTGTATGGACACAGCGAAGATGGAGCATGTGAAGATGTATTGTAGGCCTAATATTCTTACATTACATATTGTATATTTTATACATCCCTTGACACCTGTATGGACACAGCGAAGATGGAGCATGTGAAGATGTATTGTAGGCCTGATATTCTTTCATTACATATTGTATATTTTATACATCCCTTGGCACCCGTATGGACGCAGCGAAGATGGAGCATGTGAAGATGTATTGTAGGCCTAATAGTGAAATGTAAGAAACTGGCAAAAAATGAAAATCTTTTTAAGGCCTGTTACTCATGGAGTTCATCTGACACATTAAAGTGTCAAAAGTAACATTAAAGTGTCAAAAGTAACATTAAAGTGTCAAAAGCAAACATAAACACAAATGTTGCAAAAATGCTAAGTACATATGTCATATATCATAAAAACTTTTCCGATGCTTACTTATTTTAAAGAAAATAACACTGACATTTTCACTAAGCCCCGTTGAGAAACTATCAAGAGATATTTGCCATGAATAAAAATACGACCAAAATTAGTGTCATATTGTTGTCTTTATATGAAGTCCAATTGCATACTCAAAATTTCTCTAAGCACAGTGGAATTATTAAAGAAAAAGAATTCCTATCAATGATTTCTTTTGAAAATTCCAGTCATTAATTCATTAGTTTATCTTACAATGGAATGAAGCACCTCAAATCATATACTGAACATGTCCGTCTGCTCCTGATAATTTTTGGTAATTTCTCAATAATTTGAATGAAGTGTCTGATTTTCTTGCATTTGTATACAATTTAGAGTGTTGACTACATGCCTGTTTACTTTATTCCTTCCTGATTCCACTCACTTCTCTCTAAAATTTGAATAAAGTGTCTGATTTTCTTGCATTTCAATACAATTTAGAGTGTTAACTACATGTACATGCCTGTTTACTTTATTCCTTGCTGATTCCACTCATTTCTCTCTTAAATTTGAATGAAGTATCTGATTTTCTTGCATTTCTATACAATTTAGAGTGCTCACATTAAGATATTTTAGTTTTCACTG